CGAGACGCAATACCACAAGGCAGTTGGGTGCTTTGTATGATCTCCCTAGGCTAGGAGCAACGGGGTAATGCAATACGCGTGAAATCTGGTCTTAGTGGAGCCGTTCGTTTTTCCATTCCTCCTCCGTTGTGATAACTGAAAATTGAGGTGCTGTCACAAACTTGACAAAAAACTTTGGAATGACGTAATGAGTGGTTGAGGTATCAAGTTATGAATATGCTTATAAATATGCTTGCTAAGTAATTCTGTTAATCTGTGACTCACTCGAAATTGATGCATTCCGTATAAATAAGACAGCATCTTACCTGCAGATCTGTTGTGCCCTGAAGATGCTATGTTGTTGATGCCGTCAACCATGACTCGGTAAACCATCGCGATGTAACAGTCCATTTTTAACCTTGCAACTGATGAAACTGGAGGTTTATTGGCAGTGGCAGTGGAGAAGGCATATTTTGAGCGAGTATCGACAAATTTGGTTGTCTTCATTAGCTAATATGCTGATGGATGATTGCCATAATGATAATTCACGCATAATTCCTCCAAAACCAGATTTTATGGCGTATTAGACCTCGTAAAATGTGGCAACATTTTGTTCACTGGAGCCACTTGTTATGTGGTGATTCAAATTCTCACCCTTGAACGGTGGGTAATGACTTGGAAAGGTAGAAGAGGACGATTCTTAGAGTCCGAAACCTCTGTTATGACGACTCACAGGATCCAGTTGGTTAAGATCTATTTAGTCGAAAAGTAATGAGCTGTAGACCGTGTGAGGTACGGGCCGAAATTCATCTTTGTCACTCGCATCGTCACGGTTGAGTCACCGTTGCGAACCCCTCCCCCTCCTGCTGACGACGAAGTTTGTCAAGCGCTGTTTTGCAATTGTCTTCCATCATTACCAACGTTGCGGTCTCTGGTCAGAGTAATGAATCGGTGGTTTGTGCATCCTTCCGCGATTAACTCAGTGATGATCATTTTAGTGATTCAAAATATGCATTATTTTAATATCCATTCGTCCATTTGTCCTAGCATGTGCGTGAGCAGTTATTGCAAATCGACGCCCATTCAATCTGTTCGTTTCTTTGACATTTTGGCGAGCGATTTTGTGACTCTCTATTTGAGGTGCTAACCCTCATGAACTACTGCCCTCGCAGCTAAGCCCGTCGTCAGGTTATGGTCATGGACGAGTAACATCACTTGCAGCAGTTCCAGATCCTTAACGATCAGGAATCTCTAAGCATTAGTAATTGTAATTACTGCATAAAGAAGAAGAAAAAGAAGAAGAATGATCGATTGATTGAATTTCAACAGGAAAAGGTACACAAATGTATGTACCGTGACGTTTTTTTCAGGGAAAAACGCGATGCTGATTCCAAAATTTTTTTAATTCTCGCTGTAACAAAGATATTCTCATACCCACCTCCAAAAAATTACTCATATTTACAGAAAAGAAAGATCTGCATTGAGTGTACCATTGTTTCGTCCATTCTCCAAAAAGCCCAGCTCAGGTGTTCACTGTAGAGAAGGGCTACGACCAACATGACATTTCAGTAAACGTTTTAAGTAAGCGAGGAGATACTCCTGACAAAGTGGGCCGCATGAATTACATTGACCAGGGGATGACAACGAAATTTGTGCCATTGTCTGTACATGCGGTGTAAAAGAAATGATGAATCTTTTAAATCATTCACTTAATCGCTGATCGGATGTTGGCGACCTGTTTCGTGTTTCCCATGGACAACTGTTTAAGGAGCAAGGCGTCAGGAGCTCTGACAGTCAGTGTTCACCGCTGTTCGACTTTCCCACTCTTTGTGGCTTCATGACGGCAACGGTTCCCTGATAACTTTAGCGTAGGCGTAGGTGCTGAGGAAAATGTACTCATTCTACTTCCTCGCACACACTACATTTTTCGTTGCCGGATCCCCTTGTCACTACTGGTAGTGATACTATAGTTACCGCTTCTTCTTATGGCGGTGATATTAGAGACAGTGGCATTTTTCTGGGTTTTGCCCGTTTCCCCGTTGCATGTGCCAGTCATAACTACTGACTGACTATCGCCTGGTAATCGCCGATCGCATTGTCCCCAAACATAGAAGTGGCACAAGAGTTGCTTCTAAAGTTTTTTAAGCCTACGAAAGAATTGTAGGACTTCGTCATATAATTAGTAAGCTTATGAACAATTTCTATAAATCTACAACTCGTTTATACACCTCTGA